ACTGGGTGGGGCTTGGTTACTTTTCCTGTTGATGGGATAAAACACTCTGACAAAAGCAATTTAAGGAAGAGAGTTTATTTTGGCTCACAGTTTGAGGGCACGGCCTATCGTACGAGGGAAATCATGGTGGTGAGAGCGTGAGGCTGCTGGTCCTGTTGCATCTACAGCCAGGAAGCAGAGAGAAGTGAATGCTGCTGCTCAGCTCACTTTCTCTCAGGGAGTGGTGCCGCCCACTTTTATGGTGGGTATTCTCAGCTCAATTAACCTAAACAAAATAATCCCTGAAAGCATGGCCAGAGGCTAAACTAGTATAGATAATCTCTCCCAGGTGTGCCCAAAGACCATTTACATGTTGCCCATGAGCGGGCTGCCAATTGCTGGAAGAGAAGAGTGGGATGGCTGTGGCCAGGTGAGATGTTTTTAGTTGGATTTCTTCTACTTTGGGCCGTGGATAAGTAGGCTGGCAATGCATTAAATCCACCAACTAGTAGCTACCTATGTTGAATGAGTGCTTAGAAGTGGCCCTGGGCTAAGCAGTTGACGTATAACTCATTCCCCAGCCTCATGAGGAACTGTAGCTGTGACCTGGCTGCCTTCCCATGTTGTTGAACCAGCACACGGCAGAGTGGGGCTCCTAACAGCATCGGGTGCTGGCATCTGTCCCTGAGCTGTTGGGTGGAAGCTGTAGGGACCAGATCCAAATTCCAGATGTGATGGAGAAGACCGTCCTATGGCTTTTCTGATAATTATTAGTACTATGTATCATTGCGTATGTGAACCCCATGTATAATATAGCTAAGATTGTATAAGATTATAATGCAGCAAAAAGAAATGTTATAAAAATGAATTTTGTACTTTGCAGGGGGTAAATCCTGTTATAAAAATGAATTTTGTACTTTGCAGGGGGTAAATCCTTCATGCAGAGGCATCATTTAAGATAGAGTATCTTTTGGGACTGGGAGGAGAGGAGGGAGAGGAAACTGGGAATGTAAAATAAATAAGTATTTTAAAAAGATAGAGTATCTTTGAAAAAGTATGTCTTCTAGTGCTTTCCTTTGACATTCAAGGTTATGTTCAATTTTACACTTTTGGGAATACTTCACAATTCCCCAGTTTTTCATGAGATGAGACAGGTGTCACGTCCAACCTCAGTCTTCCATGACAGGAGAAATGCTAAAATGCCAACAGAAAATTCCCTTCCTCCACAGGAGAGATGGCTCCTCTGATCCTACAGAATTCCAGAAACTTTTTCTAGGAGATGGCTATAGTAAAGTAAGGAGAAATGTATGAAATCAGGGTCCTTGAGAGAGCAAAGGCCATTATTACTCGCGGGAGAAACCAGACTACCCTTCCTGGCTAAGGTCTTGGTCATGGCCATAGGTGTGCTGGGTGAAGGGACACTGGCTTCTGTCCTCATGGCTATGAAGGCCCAGATGGCCTTTCCTTCCTCTCTCTTGGAAGTCTGAGAGGAATTTGTGTGTAGCAGGTTCCAAGTCAGGCTCTGAGGGAAAGGGATTCTATGCATGAGCCTGCATGGGGCTGGCCTTGGCGATGGGAAGAAGCAGGGGTTCTAGGACACAGTGGTTCATTTCAATTTGGAAATGTATGTCTATTTGATGTACAGTGTGCTGTTTGGATGTGAGAATCTTTTGTGATGTATTAAATCCAGACAACCCACATAGCTGTTACCTTGCATGTTTTCTTACCGGACTTGACTGAAATGGGGACATTTGGATCACTTGCCCCAGGACTTGGTCACTACGGCTTTACCATTTGCTTCCATGACTGTGACCTTCTCAGACTCCACCAATGTATGATAGAATGTTTGTCGTTAGGCCGGGCTCAGGTCTTCCAGACTACGAGGCCTTAACACATCTGTCATCTGTAAAATGCTCCCTCTTCTGCCCTTCCCTACCTCACTGGGCCAACAGGGAAACAAAATGGGAGAATGGAATTCTGGTCCTAGCTTTACTGTTCCTGATTAGCAATGTTTGCTTGGAACTTAAGAATTTGTACCATTTAATTTGGTGCCTGCCATAACATGTGTTTAAGATGTTTGCATAAAAGGGCTTAAATTTAGTTAATGCTTTGTTGTTTGGGGACACTTGGGGTCATTTAATTTGCAGAATTAAAAAAAAAAAGACTTATTTATTTATTATATATACAGTGTCCTGTCTGCATGCATGCCTACATGCCAGAAGAGGGCGTCAGATCTTGTTATAGATGGTTGTGAACCACCATGTGGTTGCTGGGAACTGAGCTCAGGACCTCCCTTACTCATGAGGGGGATAAGCATGGCGTCATGTGTGGAACTCAGTGTGCCACACAAGAAAAGGGAATTATTTGATGTGTTCTGTGATACATCTAGGGAAAGACCTAGGCAAGTGGGGAGTGTGTGTGTGTGTGTGTGTGTGTGTGTGTGTGTGTGTGTGTCTGTCTGTCTGTCTGTCTGTCTGTCTGTGTCTCTGTGTCCATGTGTGTTGGAGGTAGGAAGGGGTAAGGACGGTCAATGAGAATGGGGGTTTGTTTGGTTGGGATTATGCCAGTGTCACTTTGAAAAGTGACGGTCCTTGGGAGTGCCAGCTAACTCAGTTGACATCAGAGGCCAATGTCCAGTGTCCCCTCAGTGACAGTTTGTCTGTTTCTCTCCTAGACTCTCCACACTGCTCTGGGAACCAGTGACTCCAGCAATGCTGCCCCGATGGGAACTGGCTCTTTGCCTGCTTGCCTCCCTGGGCTTCCATTTCTACTCTTTCTGTGAAGTTTACAAAGCCTCCAGGGGTAAGACTCCAAGGCTTGCTGATACCTGTCAAGAAAGAAGTGGGGTGGGAGTGTCTGAGGTGGAGGTTCAAGAGGACGTTCCCGTGGCAATGTGACCTGTGGGCTCGGTTTCCCAGACGTGTGCACTTGGAGTCCGTGCCAGAGCCCAGGATTGTCCCTCCTGGTTGTTTACGTGAGCCTGCGGCTTGTCATCTCCAAGAGCTGCTGCTTTTCTTGTTGGTGCCGGGAAGAACCTCTGAGCACATGACCTGCCGCTGAGCAGTGTCCCCAACCCCTGACAACAGCAGGAACATTTGATCCAACTTCTCTGGAAGGGATTCAAAGTAAACTGTTTTCCTTTCAACAGCTTCCTTTGCAGGCTTATCTCAGGCACGTGAGGGGGTCTGGGGAGTTAGCCACTCCTACCCCTTCTGTTTTTGTCTTTCTCTTTATTTCTTTTATATTGCTGTGTTGCCCAGGCTAGCCCCACATTCCAGGATTTCCTGCTTCAGCCTTTTAAGTAGCTTGGGGTTGCAGAAATGTACTGCCCCTAAGCCCCTCTTCCAGAGTTTAAATTTTTCTATTTTTCCCCGTCTTGGGAACTGAACCCAGGATCTTGTATCACATGCTAGAAGCGTTCTACCCCCAGGCCACCTCCCCATTCCTCTCTTTTACTTTCTGTTTTGAGATAGGAACTTGCTAAGTTACCTACACTGGTCATGAAATCGCTTGGTAGCCCAGGTTGGCTTTGAACTCACAGTGGTCTTCCTGCTTTGACCTTCTGAGTAATGGGATGGCAGGTGGAGCCACCACACAGGGCTGCTGAGCCAGTCTTTAGGAGGAACGGGAACCGGGCTAGGGAGCTGGCTCTGTGGGTAAAGCGCTGGCCTGGAGTGGCTGATCACAGAAAGGTGGAAAGAGAGAACGGACTCCTGAAAGTTGTCTCCTGACCTCCGTGTGCACACCATAATGCACAGGTGCATCCACATACACAAAAATATGATAATGATAAATGTAATTTTTAAAGGGAGTTTAGGCACTAGCCAGGTAGCAAAGAATGCTGAGGACCCGTGGACAGAGATGGGGTTGTAGGCTGTAGATAAGCTTGCATCTGCCACTGGGATGAGAGAGACCTACATACCTACAGCATGGTAGGAGAGCCACAAGTCACTCAGCAGAACTGGGGTGCAGAGTGATGGGTCATGGGGAGACCTGACCTCAGCTTGAAGAACAGGTGTAGGAGTGTGACAGCTGTTCAGGTCCACTAAGAGATTTGGGCTCTGTCTTTTTAAAAAATACTTTTTAAATTTTATCTTATGCATATGAGTGTTTTGCCCCCATGACATGCTTGGTACCCATGGAGGCCAGAAGAATGTGTTGGGTCCCCTGGAACATTGATAAATGGTTGTGAGCTGTCATGTAGGTGCTAGGAATTGAATCCAGGTCCTCTGGAAGAGCAGCCAGTGCTCTTAACCACTGAGCCATCTCTATAGCTTCTGAAGGTAGGGGAGAGTGGGGAGAGGTGATGCAGTCACCGAGAATGGCAAAGACAGGATTGGGTTGTAGTTCACTGGAATGCTTAGCATTTGTCAGATTCTGTTCAATCCCAGGACTGTAATACAATACAATAGCAAAGAGGTTCTGGGCAGCCTATCCCACCCTACAGCTCACCAGGGTTGACTTCGCTGTCCGTTCTCCGTGTTGGCCATTCGAGGGAGTTGTCGTATTTGTCCACACCCCATCCTCTAGCACTAGTCCTGGGGTTCTCATTAGCCGAGAGAGCAGCTTGGAGAGGTTGTCTTGGTGGGGAGCCATTTACCCAGCGCACGAAGGTGCCCTGTTGGAGCAGAAGAAAGGAAGGATAGCTTTTGTCAGTGAGCTAGTGTCTTCCCTAGATGGCTGCATCTTACCAGCGAGTCAGTCTCTTCCATAGATGGCTGTCTTACTTGTCTTTTGCTACGTGATAAGCTATCTTGAAGTTTTATGATTTAAAAATAATAACTGCCATTTTTTTTTATAACTCACTATTGTGTGAAAATTTTCCCTTTTGGAAAGGTTTTTTTTGTTTTGTTTTGTAGTAGTTTCGGGTTTGTGGCAAAGCTGAATAGCATGTCCAGAATTCCCAATGCCTGAGTTCTAGTTTGTGTCTGTGCCACTTCCTGTCAGTGTCCAGTACCACAGGGTGCATTTGTCCAGTTGAGTCTGTTTGGCACAGCATTGTTGGCCAATGTCCTCAGTTTCTATCAGAGCGCCAACTCGGGTATCCTATACTTTGTGGATTCGGGAAGTGTATAGTGATGTATGTCCTATTAGAATATGACACAGCATTTGTCCGCTCAAAAATGCTGTCCTGTCACTCATCCCCGCAACCTCTGGTCTTTTTACTGTCTCCATGGTTTGCTCTTCCTAGGATGTCCTATAGTGAGAGGCCCATAGTTTGTAGTCTTTTTAGCATGGCTTCTTCCATCTAGGGAGAAGCGTTGAGGGAACTTAAATGTGAAACACAGCTCAACAGCTTATCTCTTTCCCTTTCTTTTCCCTTTTGGAGACAGGTCTCATGCAGCATTTAGACTGCCTTTGAACTTTTTATGTAGCTGAGGATGACCTTGAACTTCTGGCCCTCCTGCCTCCGCTTCCTGGGTGCTGAGATGGGAGATGTGGGCTTTGAGGCCCAGTTCATGCGGTGCTGGGGATCAAACCAGGGTTTAGGTTATAAGTCTTCTTTTGAGCACTGTGCAGTATTCCAGTGTCTGGATGTACTGCATTTGAATTGTCTGTTGACCACTGAAGGACACTGTAGTTACTTCCTAGTGTTGGCAGCTGCACACGAAGCCACTGTAAACAGTGGTGTGCAGGGTTTTACACTGATGGCTTCTTACCTCACTTGTGTACTAACCGATGCCATTGCTGATCCTGTGGCAAGCATGGTTTTGTAAGGAACTGTCCATGTTCAGCTGTACACCTTAAGACTCAGGAGAGGTGGGAACACTCACCTGGAACGCAAGGGAAGATATTCCCTGTCATGCATCTTGCATTTTGCTTTGTTTTTGGCCAAAGTCTCACTGTATAGCACAAACTGGCCTCAAATTCATGGACATCTTCCTGCCTCCTCTCTGTGCTGCCATGCCCTGGCCTACCTTGATCCTAAGGCTTGACTAAGCAGCCTTGCACGAATGCCCTTCTCTAAAACAGGCCAGCTGGTTTTGTGGCTGTATCAGTTTGATGTAAGCCTTTCTGAAGACCAGAGTGGTCATTAGTGACAGCTGCCGGTGACGAAGGTGGCCACCTGTGGAAGCACTGGACGGGCCGTCCCGCCTCTTCTGACTGTATGCCCTGCTGTTTGGTTTTTTGAGACAGGATTTCTCTTTGTAACCCTGGTTGTCCTGGAACTCACTCTGTAGACCAGGCTAGCCTCAAATTCACAGATATTCTCCTGCCTCTGCCTCCCAAGTGCTGGAATTAAAGGTGTGTGCCACCACTGCCACCACCCTGAAATTCTTATTAATAACATTTCCCAGATCATTTTCCTTTCATGATTGGGTAGTTTTCCAATTATATTTTCTACTTGATTATATCTATAGTAAAGATACTTACGTTGGTTCATCTGTTTTATATTCTAGCAATTTACTGAAGTATTTCCATCCCACTGACTTATTTGACTCTTGCTAACGCCCTGCAGGTAGCAGTGATGCTTTGCTCGCTCACTACGGCGTCTAGAACAGCGGAGCCGCTCTGTCCTGTTCTAGTTGCAGCCTCAGAGGAAGGCCTTGCATGGCTTGTACCACCACTGAGAAACTCTACAGTTTTATTCAATCATTTTAAAGTCATTTTAAAGAATCTTTCTAGTTACTTTTTAAAGATTGGTAGTCCGGAGGCTGGAAAGATGACTCTGTTGCACGAATCCTAATTGGTCTTAATAAAAACCTGGAGCCAGATATCAGGGTGAAAGCTGAATAATCAGAGAAGCAGAGCAAGCCACAGCCACCACCTCTCACCTCACCAACTCCTCAGCCTGAAAGCATCTCTTAGAGCCAGTTTGTGTCTCCTCCTGCCTTATATTCCTTTCTCTGTCCAGCCATATCACTTCCTGTCTTAACCTTCCTAGTGCTGGGATTAAAGGTGTGTGCTACCACTGCCTGGCCTCTATCTTTAATCTAGTGGCTTGTTCTGTCCTCTGATATCAGGCAAGTTTTATTTGTTCAAAATATCACCACATGACTCCGTGGTTAAGACCATTTTCTGCTTTTTCAGAGGACCCAGATTCAGTTCCCAGCACCACTTGGCACCTCCCAGCCACCTGTAACTCCAGTTCCATGGGATCCCATGTCCTATTCAGACCTCTGTGGGCACTGCACATATATGTTGTACCTATATGCATGCAGACAAAATATTCATACATGTAAATAAGTGAGCATTTAAAATAAAAGTTGACAGTCTTAGGAGATGACTCAGTGGAGGGTCTTAGTTCAGTGTCCAGAGACTTTTTTTAAGCTGAAGGTGGTAGTTTGTAATGTCAGCTGGGGAGACTTGGATGGGCAGGTCCCCAGGGCTTGCTGGCCACCTTGTCTAGCCTGTTTGATGAGTTCTAGACCAGTGAGAGCCTTGTCTCAAAAATAAAAATGGACCATGTTCTTGAGGGACATCAGCCAAGGTTGAGTGTCCTCTGACCACTCGTACACACATGCACACTTATACACGTGAGCAAGTACACGCACGTATGCTTAGACAAGTCCATGACAGAAAAAGCTGCCAAGAATAAGGGCTGAATTGTAATCACTTGCAGCCCCACATCAGATGATAGAGGATTTTCTTTTTTCAACCTGCTAATGTTTTTCTTTTTCTTTTGAGGGAATCAAGTTTTGAGGAGCAACCCGACTTCACTCTGCACCCACCCTGGCCATGGTATCTAGACTCTGCACCCACCCTGGCCATGGTGTCTAGACTCTGCACCCACCCTGGCCGCTATTCTCAAAGTTGAAATAAGAATCAGTTTCTGAGTGCGCCTGGTCAGACCGCAGTTTTAGTCTTGGAGATTTTGACATGGCACTCTGCCTCTTTGTGTACAATGGATGCCGCCCTTCCTCGTGAACCACTGTAACTAGTACCTGAAATCTCTATCCACTTGAATTCACTCTTGTCAGCTTGCCGAGGCCCAAGTCTCCTCCAAAGTGGATTGATTGAAAAGTTCCAAAAGTCTGGCATGTTATTGGCATGTTTCCATTTTTCTTTTTAAGGCAGTTTGATGATAATATCTTCCCAGGTCACGGAGCTCTTCAAATGCGTTGACTACAGTCATGTGTCATTTTCTTAGACGGTTCAGATACTGCACACCTCATCTCCCTGTCTTAAGAAAATGTTCAGATTTATCCCTTTAGCAGGTTTATTTTCTTTCTCAAAGAACAGAGTTTGGACTTAGCTAAACTCAGAAGCTTTTCTGTTTCCTGTGGCAATCATTTTCTAATGAACGGTAGCCAAGTTGGGTCCTGCTGACCCCACAGTCCCCAGGCATGTGGCCTCTTCCTGACATTTGCACAAATGGAATTCTGCTTTCCCTTGATTTGAGTTTTCACTTGGCCTGTTTTCCTTTCTTTACAAGTCAGTGATCTGTTGCTCAAGTCTCTTTAAACAAATGGTAGCACCTGGAGATCTAAAGAGCCATTTTCAAGGTGCAAAGTTTCTGTTTGACTCCCACCTCCAGTTTCTTGTTACTGTGTAGCAGTTGGCTCCAGGGTTGGGTAGGCTGGGGTCAAACACACTTGCCCAAGCATTCACTTCTCCTTGCCCGCACACACAGCAGCCCTTGTGAGTGGACCTGTTCTTTAACATGCAATGCATCTGCCTCTCACAGGACAAGGGCTTGGTGAGGAGGCTATTATTTCCTGTTATGATTAGAGAATTTATTCGCAATCAGGCTGGTGACTTCAGAGAGCTCATTCCATGCTGAGGGGAACAGCATGGAACACTTTGAACAGGTGGCCTTGCCCTGGGAGCTTGCTGAGGGTGGGTGGGACCACCAAAGGCCTTTGTTTAATAGGGCCCAGTGATAGGACTTAAGTGCTTTGCATTGTTCCCACAGTGACAGTCAAGGCTCCCAGTGTGCTAGATGGCAACCTCCTCATGCACTTGACCATGTCTGTCACTCATGACTTTCCTACAGGGATGCCAGATCTCTTAGTCCAGCCCTTTTCAGGTCTGCTTTGGTGTCTCCTTCTGTATTGATTCTGGTCCTTAAGGTGTGTGTTCCGGGAACATTATGCCAAGCACAGCCACATGGTGGTTGAAAAAACAGCAAATAATGTGGAGTTTCTTCCTCATTCACTAGCCACCTTATTATTTTGAGACAGTATCTCTCACTGAACCTCTAGTATCTGGGCCCCAGCTTCTTGGTCCTGTCCCTGCCTCCAGTCAGTGATTTGTGCTGGCGACACGGCCCTCCCCCAACAGGGCTCCATCAGTGAATGGCCTCAGAAGTTCAGATTTTGGGAGGAGTGGCCTTGGGGGGGGGGGTGTCTTCTTGCAGTTTGCTATTTTCATCTTGTTTACAGATCTCCCTTGTTTTTATTGGGTTATTTGTGAGTCACATTCTCATTCTGAGAGGGAACTGGAGGAGGGAAGAAGCTCTGGGCTTCAAGTGTCATGGAAAACCCATTTCTTATCATGTATGTCTTTGCTATAACATAATCTGCTTATGAATATTTGAGTGTGGCTTGCCATTAAGTTCTTTTGCTAGAAGCCCATCTTTTCTGTTCCCTCCCATGTTTCCATTTATTGCCACAGTCTGCCGTCTTCTCTTAGGGAAATAAGGTTCAGTGGGAGCTGAATGGAG